CAACCTCTCGTCAATATGCGTTTTTTGCATTGCATTGCTGCAAAAAACGCATAAAAACGCATATTGTGGCGACCCATGGAATGCGTGTATGTGCCTGTGTGTGTGTGTGTGTCTGTCTGTCTGTCTGTCCGTGTGTCCGGGCATTTCATCTCTGCATCCACGCAAGCTTCGGCGCCAAAGTTTTGTCAGCGGATTTCCCTATCGAGTGTTACCCCAGGACCGCAGAGCCAACCCACACGCACGTCTAAGCCCCGTGCACAACCACGCGGGGAAAGTCGATAACTCGAAAAGAGGAAAAGCTGGGAGGCTGAAATTTTCAGGGAATGCTCCCCGTTCATGTTGAACTCAGAGATTTCAAATTCAGCACCCGCGTGTGCGTGTTTCTCACGCACGGTTCCATGAATTTTTTGGTGGGAAAATCGCTAGCTCCTGAACCAGGAAAGCTAGAAAGCTGAAATTTTGCGGGGATATTTCTCGTCCAAGTAAAACTCAAGGATTTCAAATTCAGTCCCGGGTGTGCGTGGCTCCTACGTATGGCCCCACGAAAGTTTTTGGCAGAAAAACTGCTAATTCGGTAATCAGAAAAGCCGGAAAGCTGAAATTTTAACGAAATGTTCCCTGTCCCAGTACCACAAAAGTAGCACAATTAACTTCTTGGACTTTGTGGGCCAGTAAACAAACTTGAGCTACTGGGATTCGAACAGCCTTACCACAGAATGAAATACTGCAAAAACGCATGATTGCATGGACCCGTCTGGGGCGCGCCGCCAATGATTTTTACATAGAAAAGCCGGGTGTATTTAGTAGCCCGAAACCGAAAAGCCTGGCAAAGGTGGACTCGGTGTGCGTGAGCATCACAGTAATATCATTAACAGGGAATCCTACGCTGATAACCCGTGCAGTTTTGATATTCTTGGTGTATGTACGGAAATATGGATTGTGTGTAGTAAATCCGTTAGTACAACCGGGCCTGAATGAGGATAGCCTTGAACTGTAGTTCTAACAATGGTAGCCAACATTTGTTGCAGTACCTGGTTTTCGAATTCATATTAATTCTTAGCATTTCCATCACCAAGAAGCCCTGGAAAGAAGGAACAATCGATAACCGAACAAGTGGGTGGCTGCAACTTGCATTGGCTACCACTTCGACTACTTACTGAAGCTTTTACCTCTTAGGCACTAAATATGGAGGAGAGGGGAAGGAGTTGGGTTTTAACTTTTGGAATTTGCAAAAAATTGCGGTTTTGACATTTTTTGTCCAATAGATTATTTGGGAGCTTATTTTTCACCGGTTGACGGAATCTTTTTAGCAGATTACAGGGAATTGGTTATAATCCGCACCAACCTTGATTTCGAGCAAAAAACTGAAAAGAGAGAGAGTAGGGAGAAAATATGGTGTAAATGTCCTTTTTCCCTTCCTAGCTCCCCAAAATAGAGGTAACAAAGCAGAAATCAACTTTGAATTCCTCTGCAATATAATTCAGTTCAATGTGGACTTGATTTTTGAATCATTGCTTACTGGCCTAAAACCTTAAGCTTTTCGTCAGTGGAATCAAGTCACCTAAAATTATCACTAAAACTGTGTTTTTTCCTGACTCAGAGCAAATATCTGAGTTTGCAAAATCAGCACAAACCTCATGTCATGATGCTTTTTATATGAGATGTAAAGTTAAAACCATTCATATTTACTAATACACTTGTTCACCACAAATCTGCACATCTCACCGTCTACTTACTGTCTGACTGATTCCAGAACTTCAAATGATTGTCCTCTAATTTGTAAAATATCGAAAAAAGAAAAAATCAGAAACACTTCCTTTACAAGAGGCGAAGACATTTGACAGCTATCACCCGCTGGCAAAGTTATCGATGGCCCCCTCTTTCGAGCGTTGCTCAGAAACAAGACAATGGAAAAGTTGGCTCCCGGAAACGCATCAGTGCAAATTTACCGTCGAAATGAAAGAACGAATCGTCAGGGACCTAATTATATCACTATCGGATTTGAGTCCGCTGTGTATCGATACCTGATGTGGAATTTGAAATCCAGGAAGTTCTGCGCAACGAAAGCTAGGAGCAGGTAATATGGGAATTTTATAATCAGCACTAATATAGAGAAATAAGCTTTCTAAAATACCTTAGTAAAGTCTATTTCCATACATACTGCTATATTTCGTGGCTAGATTGCCGCTCACCCTGTTGATAAAGATTGATCTCAATCAAATTTTGGTACATACGCTTT